TCGGCAAAAGAAAGTTAACATACCGAGCATGGTTGCCGTTTGATTGCTCGTCGACAATATTGTACTCTCTGACATATGCTCATCAGCTCATAAGTTTAACCATGGCAGCTTTCCTAAACATCGCTTGCGACAGTCTTATTTGTGGGTTTTTGGTCCACATTTGCTGCCAAATTGAGATCTTAGCGTATCGTCTTCGTAAAAATATGTCTTACTCTGGTACTCTCGGCGAATGCGTTCGTCAGCACTGTCATATCTTCAGGTCGGTCTATAAGTGATGTTTTTGTTTGAATACACAAACACACATATATACTGATGTTAAACTTATTACACGCTATTTATTTTCATTTTAATATAATTGTATTCGCGTGATATTTGCGTCAAATTACACTTTATATGCGTCTTACTAAACATTTTCTTGCAAAAGAAACATTACCACGAATTTCAGATTTGCCCTTATTATAAATGCAAAGTTTAGATATATTATTGTTATTCAATTTATAATGAGTACGTTGGTGGTGTGCTTCAGTCTGTATCAATTAACTAAAACGACATCGCATGCCAAGCATGTCGAAATGACATTGTATATGATTTGCATGCTAACGCAAATTTTCTTTTACTGCTGGTATGGAAACGAGGTGAAGCTAAAGGTACGAATATCATTCCTTCCATTTTTATAGGATATAATAGATTTTTATGCCAATACATATCTTTCAAATATGTCAAGTAGAGCTATGAGCTGATCGACGATATTTTTGAGATGGAATGGATGGCACTGGACGAAAACAGAAAGAAGTCTCTAATTATAATAATGAGGCGCGCGATAGTGCCTATTCAAATTACTAGCGCTTATGTAATTCCCATGAACCTCGAGTCTTTCATGGGTGTTAGTATGAAGAGAGTGCAATATGCAATCACGCTTGACTTCGCTGATAGATTTTACTGAATTTAATATAACGATCGGAGTATCGATTAATGTATTATTCGAAAATATTTGGACAAACTGTCATGCAATGTCAAATTAAAATTACACACTACATGTTCAACCAAATATCGTAACTAAAGCGACATTACAAATGCGCATATTAATTGCAGATGCTCAGGACATCGTATTCGACTTACAACTTGCTCCAGCACATGTAAAAGACTGACAAAATCAACATGCCATCCACACTGCGAAATCAAAAGCCTAGAGAGATACGGAGATAAAAGAGGAAAAGATACGAAATATTGAATTTTTGCAATTATAGTACCGACAAGTGACACTCATGTTACGTAGTGTTATTAGGAAAATAAAGGAAAACTATCTAAAGTTATTACGTTAATTAATGTCTGTGTTAATTGCATTTTTCCTCGACGGGCGTATTTTCTCTATCTAAATGCTGTAGGCTGGAAAAAACAGCATCTTAAAACGATAAGGAGAAAGAAGAACACGCGGCGACTGCTCGATAACGTGGAAAATGTATCAATGAAAAGCGAAATACTTTTAACTTTTTACGATCGTAGGCCGAGCTATAGTCGAGATGTAGAGAACGACTTGAATTACGATTGCGGATGGTAAAGTGGGGGGAATGAAATAAATAAGGCGTATTAAGATTTCACGATGGTGAAGTACAGTCTTTCTCGTCCAGCAAGTAGAAGTTCTTCAACTTCTGTCTCGCATCCGTGAAAAGAAATTGGTGTTACCTTCAAATGTCAGCATATGAAAGTTGAATTTCTAAATTGACTGGCCATATTTAACTGAATAAAAGTATATTCCTACAATAGGAATGATACAAGTCTGATTTTATGATACTGGCATTACGATAATAATACTGGCATTACGATAATAATACTGATATTACGATAATAATACAAACGAAGGAATATAGGGGAAATTCGCGAACATTTCACGATCGTCAATTGTTTGCAAATCGTCTTGTCTGATGTTTCTTGATTATTTTATCTCATAATGAAAAAACGTTGCGAAATTTCCAGAGATACTGCGTGAAATAAAAGTTGCTGAAATACTTTGCGTGTTGTCACGTGAGTATTTCGCACGACCGATCGCAAATGTAACGTGAGGAACTTCGATGAAACGAATTACACGTACGTAAAAATATAAAAATTGAAATGCATTTATTCGTAACGTAATTACAATTTTTCGTTTTTTTCTTATCTTTTTTTTCCATAATTAGTATTCTTTACAGCTTTAGACATTTTTCATGAAATTGTTGGCTGTTAAAATCCAACTCAAAGAAAATTGCTGATCGACAAGTTACAATTATTTTCGACTGTTATAGATAGTCTGGAATATTGATCTACAAGAAATAATTATGTAAAGAGTGTCAACAAATTTGATCAATTGTTAAAAAATGAGAAAGCTTCAATATATCCGATAATTCATTAGTGACTGATTTTTGTCGTATAAGAAGGGAATATAACAATTAAGAAAGCCGAAATGCAAATACTAGGATTTACATACAAAATTCTAACGAGTTGCGGTTGTTGGGTACCAGATTCTTGGACGTCTCCTTATAAACGCTTAATGTATCACTTCTACACAATTTTTATACTTATGCTAATAAATACGTTTACACTGTCACAATTTCTGGATATAATTCTGATTGTGGACAATGCAGATGAGTTCATGGAAAATTTCTACATGTTGCTCGCCATGATCGTCTCTTGCTTTAAAATGTTCAGTTTGCTGATAAATCGCAAGAATATTGCGATGCTGACAGATATTCTTACGAAAGAACCGTGTGCACCGATCGAATCAATCGAAGTAGAAATACGACAGAAATTCGACAAGCTGATCGAGTAAGTATTGCTAGATACTTGTTAATTGCTTAAGAATTTATGCTCTATGATTCGAACATTGCTATGGAATTTGATTGCAAACTTAATTATAAATTAATAATGTAAATAATTAACTATCTCATTAGCAATCTAGTCTTCAAACGTGATTATCTTGTGTTAGATCGTGATATCGATTTATTATTTATTCCTTTATTTTTTCGCGTGGTATGTTATACCATAATAATTTGTAGCAAATATTGGAGCAAATATTAAGTAGTAAAGGCGTGTACGTAACATTATTGTCGCATTAACGCAACATTAAAAATATAATTTATGATTTATCATTAAAGAAATATTATTTTGATGTTAAGTCCGCGTCGTTCCATATACACTTGCGCACAAATGCGAAGAGAAATTCTTAAAATCTAAAGAAAATAAATTATATATATATATATATATATATATATATATATATATATATATATATA